GAGTGGAGTGATTCAGTGATTTAGAAATGATTGTTCTTGATCAATCTCATTTGATGCTCTATGATCTTCGAGTGAAGTGGTTCAGTGATTTGATCAATCTCATAGTTTGAATCTTGATGCGTCATTTGAATCGAGAGAATCTTTACATATGCATATTGTATTTTTTTTCTTCAAATTTCCTTTGTTTTTTCTCTTTTTATTTTCTCTTTGCTTTTTTTTTCTTTTTTCTCTTTTTGTTCTGATTGAATCTTCGCACTTGGCATTTGGTTCACCTTTCGGTATCTCATCTGAATCAATGTCTTCACTCATGCGAGCATATTTTCTCCACCTTGCCCCCAGTGTAGAGGGTGATCCTTGGTTAGGGTTGAATCAGAAGAAAAATACTATAGGCTCAAAAGGGGACACAAGGGATATATATTTTCTCCTGTTGTGAAGGGATGAAGAAAGAAAGACATTCATCATTTCATACATGGAAGTCCTCACAGAAGAGGTATCCCCAGGGGATAGATTTTCAGGATTAATTTTATTCACATGAAAACATTGTAATTAATGCATGATAGAATTATTTTGAATGAATTCTTCTTTCTGCTTCTTGCCCCCAACATGTCTCAATGTTCAGGCTCCCTGCGAGATGCCCCAAGTTGTGTCTTAGAAGAATGCTCATGTTCAAATGAACAACTCAATGCCTTGGGTTTTGATGGCATAAAAATGTCAATTTTGAGTCTAAAAAGACAATGGTGTGACTTTATCGACTCAAAGAAAGGTATGGTATGAAAAAGTTTCAAAGGGGTGGTCGTCAAAACTTGGAGCATCCTATGTGGCAACTGCAAACAGCTTCAACATCGTAGCCCTCAGGATATGTGAACTCCTTTCTCATATCATCCTGGCAAGCTTAGTCATATAACCAACTGATCGTGATCCCACTGTATTGATTTCAATTTTTTCTTTTGATGTTACAATCTTGCTTCCATGTGGTGTCATGTGGTTAAAACCACTTCATCGAATTCTCCATGAAGAAATTTCATGTTTATGAAAATGCTTAAAAATGAAATGTAGATGCAAAATGCAAAAATGCATGAAATGTTTGAGGCATTGATCCAAAAACATGTATGTTATTGTAAATAACCTTTATTGGGATAAAATTATTTTATCTTTTAAGAGATAATAAACATATTTAAAGGTACATCCGGACTAAATCCTCTAGACCCGGAACAGGTTGACTAGTCATTTGCTTCGTCTTTCACCGGTTGAATAACCTGTTGAACCACTCCAGCCTCTCTGGATGAACCGTGAAAATGTTGAGTTGTTTTTTGTACTGGTTCCCAAAAAGTGTCGAATGATTGCATCTCTAGCTTTCATCCTTTGCTGAATCGGAAATTCCATTGAAATCCTCCATCAAATGGATTATCCGAAGTTCATTTGCTTGTTTCTTGAATTTGTCGACAGTGACTTGCCATCTTGTTCTTGTTGTCTTTGAATGGACTCTCGAGGTCAGTAACATTTTTCTCTTCTTGCCCCTGCCACCTTTGTCAACCCATTTTTGAAAAGTTAACTTTTGATATACTTGATTGTGGGCACCATATCTTCTTGATCGAATGTGACACATAGTTGTCTTGCAAATTGTCTTCTTTTTCTTTCTGAGTCTTTTCTGACCATAGTCGGACCCCTGTATTTTTCATCTCTTGTATTACAACCCCTTTGTTCATTAATGCAAATTATTTATGTTTTAACAAACACGTTTTTGGTGGATCAATACTTCTTTTAAATGATGCAGATGATGAAAATAAATAAATAAATAAAAGAAGATGAAAGGAAAAAAAAGTTAGTGAAATAAAGATGATAATCAAAATGATAAAATTAAAAAAAAGTCCTACCCTACATGATATCTCCCAACATGCTTATTATTCCTACCTGGACATGATCTCTATCCCGTATGCTAATTTTAAACAAATCCTAACCGCATATTTGTCTAGTTCGCATGCTTTAAACAGAAAGTAAAATAGGAAATAAAAACAACCTAGGGTTTAAAATGAGGCTTTGGGGTAGGCTCTAATTCCCTGTACTCTCCCGGTTTAGGTTCTAGAAACGGTACCCGAGTTCTCCTTACTGGTGCCCCTTGGGCTTACCAGACCCTTAGTCCTAAACCCATCACATGCTTGTGTGGATTAAGTTAAACTCGAGAGGAAACATTCCCTTATGCCCGCACGGTGAATAAATTCACACGAAGATATAAGGTATATGAATCCCAAAAGCTACTTACTAGGCCCGCACGGTGAATAAATTCACACGAAGGCGTCGCTTTCACCCCCACTTAAATAAGGTTCGAAGCTCGGGTATAGATCCTTAGACGAAAAATCTTTAAGGGCTGAAATTATTAGAAAACGGTTAGTACAACTATTTACTTGAAAAAAAATAATCAAAGATAAATAATTGGAATCGAATAAATAAATTAAAATTTAAACTTGTAATTTTCGCTAAAAAAATACAACCGAAAATTAATTTCGGCCTGACTCACTTACCTTTCCCCAGCGGAGTCGCCAAGCTGTCGTAACCGTCTTTCGGTTGGGCACCGGAATTGGGCTTCGACTTGAAAAATGTGGATTGGAGTCGCCACCGACCATTTTAAAACGAATTTAGGTGGGTCGGACACCATCTTACCTGATCTGCGTTTTTGCCATAAATGTGTCGGGTTCAGGAGTCGGTTACGGTCAAGGAATGATTAACACCCTTGAACCGCCCTTTCGGTACCAATTAATTTGCCGGTTGTCTTAGTTGCGAAAATTCAAAATTTAAATTAAAATTTAACAGACCCGATTCAAATTACTTACAATTGATTGATTTGAATATCCTTAAAAGATAAAAACGTTAGATTCGTAGAGGAGTATAAAATCGAATTAGGATAGCAAGTGTGCAAACGTGAGAATAATAAATAAAACAAAAAAAATAAAAAATAACAAAACACGTAAAAATAATAATAAAATAATAAAATAAACAAAATGAATAAAATGTTAAAAACAAAGACACATAAAAAAGGGAAAAAATTAATGGAGTACAAAAATAAAAAAAATAAAATAAATTAAAAAAGAATAAAAATAATGTGTACATATAAAGTAGTATTTACTAAAACAAATAAAAATAATAAATATATAATACTAAGTAAAACAAATAAAAAATAAAGGTATACATGATATTAAGAAAAAAATAAAATAAAGTAAAAATATAATATATATAAATAAATAAAAACAAAAATAGAATATTAAGAAAATATATATAAAAACGTATAAAATATAATATTAAAAAAATATATATACATAGTAAATGGAGAAAAAGTAATACATCTATACATATATATATATATAATGATATAAGATATATAATAAAAATATAAATAAAAAAGAGGAATATAGTAAATAGATAAAAAAATATAATTAAAAATATATATATATGGGACGAAATTAATATAAGAGTAAAATTAAAGGGTAAATTTCAAGGTAAATTAAAGATTAAGATTGACTTAGGGGAAATATTAAATACTTTAAAAAATGAACATGCCTCGGGAGTAGATTTAGGTTCGAAACTTCGAAATCCCACCCCTTTTTGGTCATCGGCGCAACCCATGTTTTGGGTTATTCAAACCAAATCTCAAGAAAAATAACATGTACATGCGAGAAATGAATGAATTAATGTAAAAAAAAGATGCTACCTTTTATTTCATTTTCGAATCGTTTATAATAGATTTGCCTTTGTATTTTTCGTGCTTTCCTCTGTATCTTGTATGTAAATCCGTGTGTTAAAAATGGGGAGGATTACATGTATTTATAGTGAAAAAACTAACTATTTTTAGAATCCTATTAACAATAGAATCCTAATGCAACTAGATTCCTTGCTCGGTTGTTGCACGTTTGTTGGTGTGGTTGTTGCTTTAAAAGATATGGTGGTAGAAGAGTCCTCTTAGGAAATGAACTCTTGCTAGTTCTATCTTTTAAGAAAATGGGTGTCTACATAGACACTTTGATTTCTAGTGGATTCTTAGCAACTTAATCCAATAAGGGTGAAATGATGATTTACAATATTCAAGATTTGTGTCGATTTATCAGTATATCGAGTCAACTCGAACTGAACAAAACCTAGCACTATGATACTTGTCAACCACTCAAATCAATGCACTTTAATAATATTCACACTTTAATACTGACAATATTATTCAAACTTATCATCTTCAAAACCATCATTGAACGGATCTTGAGGAACTGTACGTATTCCGATGGTATTTGTTTTATTTATGTATTGCACCAGTCTCCAAGATGACCAACATACTTGAGTCGTATTCTACAACCTTTAGGGGTGATATAATACCTAGGTTTTCTCGGTGTTTCAAGAATTATCCAATAATAATCACATATTTCTAGGTCACGAGGGTATTTGGGTTATTTCCTTACTCGAGGTTACTTGGTTATTTAGAGTTTGAGGTATTTCGGTCTTTTTAGGGTTCAAGAGTATTTTGGTCCTTTGAATATTAGAGGTTATTTTAGTTATTTCACATCTCGAGAACATTTAGGTAATTTTGTTCAATCCAAATATATGTACTTTTTTTGGTAATTTGGACAAGTGTGTCATTTCATGGTTATTTTTCACTTTTAAGGACAATCTTGGTCTTTTTATAGTACAATGGCATTCTCATAATTTTACTCCATAGGGCTATTTTATAATTTCTTATCCAAGTATTCTCAGTATTTAACCTTTAAAGAAATTAATCAAAATTTATGGGTCTTGAGGCCAATTCATTTATTAATGAATCACTAATCTTATAATTATTTCCAATCGGTTTTCCAGTTTCTTATGCGAGCCATCTGAGTCTTATACAATTTACTCATTTTTACCGTAATTCTGTTCAAGTCCAAAAAAAAAATAATTATACCTAAATGACCAATCATTTCATCGATGCAATTACCAATTATTAACAAGTTCTAGAAAACACACAAAAAGTAGTAAAGTATTACCTCAATTTCTGTGACATATCGATTGACCAACTGAACCCCAAAATCACTGTTACATTTGATTTCCATGCCTCCTAATATCTTGAATACATAGCAAAAGAATTTACGTCAGAAACGAAACTTAATCTGAAATATTATTCGAATCAGAAATTAAAATACTGAAAATAGCTTACTGAGTTCAAATTTGGCAAAACGGATTGCAAATTCAGGCTCAGGATATTGAAAAGCATAAAATAGGACTTTTTCAAAAAAAAATGACTTTTTGTCAAAGTCAACCGTCAATGCGGTTAAAGTCAAAGTCAATGGGTCTAGTCAACTAACAATGATCTGGGTCAAAGGTCAACAGGTTGACTTGGTCTCAGTTGAATTAGCTGACTCAGATAATTTTACTCGAGCGAGCTGACTTAGTTAACCAAAAGTCCCAACAGAACAATGTCCATGCGCAGCGGTGGAGCGTGGCGGTACGTATGACGGGGGCGACGATGATGATTGATCTCTCCTAGAGGTACCAAACACCAAAATCAACCAATAACAGATCAGATATTAAGATGATACAAGCTAAAATGATCGAAAAAGAATCAAAGGCTCACCAAAGCAACGGTCGGCGAACCAGCGGTGGTGGAGAGACAAACCCGGTTGGGATTTGGTTAGAAGAAATAGGGGAGCCCGATGACGATGGCGGTGAAGCTATCCAATTTTCGATTCAATCAAAAATCACAGAAAACAATGGCCGATGATTTGGGTTTCACGAAACTTCGAACGGCTTTTGCCGGCCAACGGTGACGATCCATAATAAAATAATTGAGGGGTTTTGCTCAGGATTGGACGGCAGTCACTTCAGCTAAGGAAGTGCATGGCACGACCACCAGAAATGGTTAAAAATAGTAAATATGACATTGGGGTTTTAAATTTCTAACGAAGCTTTTTTGGATCTCCAGGGCAAACAACAGAATCTCGCGGAGAATGGCTGGTTAAGTTTTGTTCGTCGAATAATGACGATCACATCAGTAGGGTCAGTGACAATCACGATTTTTAGATGATGGTTGAACGGAAAGGGAAAAGGCAACGATGAAAGCTTTTAATTTGGGAATTTTAGGGTTAGGGATTTTGCCTAATATCTTATATGAAATTGGTTTATGAATTAAAATGTGTTTGGTAGTTAATAAAATAATAATTTTATAATAAAACTCTTGAACAATAACCTAGCTTAAATGGCTAGGGATTAAGGTGATGGTTTTAGAAATATGGGTTCAAAACCCATCAAATGCATATTTATTTTTTTTCCTTTACTGAGTAGAAATGGCTAAATTTGGGGATAAATTCTTGAACTTTCAAGGGAATTTGAAAACTGTCTTAAAACTTAATTTGGTCCAAAAAATTAATTAAATAATTTTTTTTGAAATGAATGAAAATTGGGGTGTGACAACTCTCCCCTCCTTAAAAGTATTTCATCCTTGAAATCCACCCAAGTCACAAAATGCAGAAGTGAAACTTTCATCATTACTTCAATATCTTCAGGTAGCTTTTATAGGATTACATATACTTTACCAAACCTTAACCAGCTGAATATGCATTCTCGTCAGAACTCTCCCTCATAATAATTCAAGAATCTGAATAGAATTATCCTTGTGGTAACAATCTAACATTAGCTACGAGGTTAGGTTCATAAATCGAGTAACATATTCCAATTTAATATCCGGATTTAGGTCAGAATTTCTCAGTTAAGTAATTCTCATGTTACTCGTAAGGCGCTTTACATAATTTGAACAAACATTGTTTGTATTCCTTTTATCCACAAGTCGAGCTCTAATGAACAAAAATCTTAGGTTAGCTAGTTACAGAGAGGGACTCGACCTTGGAGTTCTGGCTTAGAGGAGTACGATTATAATATGGGCATGTACTGACTAGACGTCTTATGACAGTCAATCGGTCGGTCTACCCAGAAAACTTGACTCAATCTAAGCTCAGATACCACTAAATGTAATACCCTCAAATGATACGGGTGACCCAATCTGATATGAGGTGTCACATTAGGGTCACCGAAGTGACCCACAGTAAAAATCCAGGAAAAATTAATTTTTTTGTTAAAACATGTAAAATCATAAAATAATTTATAAATAAAATACAAGTTCAAAAAACCATTCATATATTACAAACAAAATTAAAATCATACAAGTTCTAGACTTATTATAAAAATCAAATATGGCCTTCATGCCCCTAATTTAAACTTGTATCGTACTCCATAAGCCAAGCTAAATGAACTCACATTATTGGAGTTGATAGTTGCACTGGATCGATTCTTTTAACCTAAAATGGTGAGTAAAAGAGTGAGCTTTGGGGAGATCAGTAATACGGAACTACCAGGTGATACTGAAGGATATGCAGATAAATGACAAGCATAAAAATTTTCTCATTGATTCATGCATCTACATGTTTTCGTTTTGAGCTGAGATTCCACTGATATTTTTTCAGGTAACAGACAAGTAGCTTATAGCTTAGAGGAAACATTCAAAAGACCAGGTTGAGAGATTGAAACAGAAGTCTAGTGTGTTCCCTCAAAATTAGAATAAAATGAAATCATAGTTTATAAACTATAGTAATTTATTTCAGTAAAGTAGGTTTTTAAAATCATTGTATTACCCTTCATCCGAATACTCCATGTGAAATTCCCCAAGACATCATCCATAAGGACTTGCACTAGACCCCTAGGATCTAGGAGTCCAATATGAATGATCATAACATAAAGGATTTACCAGCTAGCTGAACCTCAGGGACTCCAGAATCCTACCCAATCAATACCCCAATAAATAGTTTTAGATAGAACCAGTAATATCAAAAAACAGAAATCAGAATTTGGGTTTTTATTTAAAATACAAAGTTTCCCTCCAAACGTACACCAAATACAGTAACCCAAAACAAGCATATGTAAGGACTTACCCTAGACCCTAGGATCTAGGAGTCCAATGTGAATGATCAAAATAGAAAGGATTTACCAGCTAGCTGAATCTCAGAGTCTCCAAACACCTACCCAGACAATACCCAATAAAACATATCAGATAACAGACAGTAATATTAGAAATCATGAGCTAATTGTACCTCGTGTTAGAAATAAGAAACTAGATATTAGAAAACATACTTTATATAAATCAGAGAAAATATTCTTTTGTCAATAGGGAACACACTATAAGATCTAGATATTTTTCGAAGGCGCTTAGAAATTATCAAGAATAGAAAATATGAATATACGTAAAATTGATCAGATTTTAGGGTTTGATGCTTTAGGACCATTTAGGATTTCATGTGTATCAGAAAGGTATTTATGAACCTTTATATCATAATAAATTAAGATTTAAGATATAACCAGAGCGATTCCATTATTTAGATAATCAGGGGTATTTCAGACACTTTGATTTCTAGTGGATTTTTAGCAATTTAATCCAATAAGGGTGAAACGACGATTTATGGTACTCAAGATTTGTGTCGATTTATCAAGATATCGGGTCAACTTGAACTGAACAAATCTCATTACTGCGATACCTATCAACCACTTAAATCGATGCACTTCAAGAATATTTATACTTTAATACTAACAATACTAGTCGAACTGATCATCTTCAGAACCATCGTTGAACGTATCTTGAGGAACTATACGTATTCTGATGGTATTTGTTTTATTTATGTATTACAACAGTCTCCAAGATGACCGACATACTTGAGTCATACTCTATAACTTTTTGGGGTGATAGAATACCTAGGTTTTCTTGGTGTTTCTAGAATTATCCAATAATATTCACACATTTCTAGGTCATGAGGGTATTTAGGTCATTTCCTTACTCGAGGTTACTTGGTCATTTAGAGTTCAATGTATTTTAGTCTTTTTAGGGTTCAAGAGTATTTTGGTCCTTTGAATATTGGAGGTTGTTTTAGTTATTTCACATCTCGAGAACATTTAGGTAATTATGCTCAATCCAAATATATGTACTTATTTTGGTAATTTGGACAAGTATGTCATTTAATGGTTAGTTTTCACTTTCAAGGACAGTCTTGGTCTTTTTGCAGTACGAGATCATTCTCGTAATTTTACTCCATAGGGCTATTTTTTTAATTTCTTATCCATGTATTCATGGTATTTAACCTTTAAAGAAATTAATCAAAATTTATGGATCCTGAGGTCAATTCATTTATTAATGAATCACTGAACTTATAATTGTTTCCCATCGGTCTTCTAATTTCTTATGCCAACCATCTGAGTTTTATAAAGTTTACTGTCTTTTTACTGTAATTTTGTTCAAGTCCAAAAGTAATTAATTATACCTAAATGACCAATCATTTCATCAATGCAATTACCAATTATCAACATGTTCCGTAAAGCATACAAAGGGTAGTAAATTACTACCTCGATTTTTATGTCTTATAATATCTCATATACATAGCAAAAGAATTTACGTTAGAAACGGAACTTAATCGGTAAAACTATTCAAATCAGAATTTAAAATGCTTAAAACTAACTTACCGAGTTCAAATTTGGCTAAAAAGACTGTAAATTCAGGCTCATGACGTCGAAAATAACAAAATAATTTTTTTTATATAAAAAAGTTGACTTTTTGGTCAAAGTCAACGGTCAACACAGTCAAAGTTAAAGGGTTTAGTCAACGGTTAACAGTCCGGGTCAGAGGTCAATAGGTTGACTCGGTCTGAGTTGACTTAACTGACTCGATTGAGTTGACTCAGTCAACAAAAAGACCCAGCAGAACAACGTCTACGCGCAGTGGTGGTGCGTGGCGATGTGTGCGATAGGTGATAGGGCAGAGACAATGACCCATCATTCCCAGAGGTGCCAAACACCAAAATCAACCAAAATCATATCAGATATTAAGCCGAAACAAGCTAAAATGATCGAAAAAGAATCAAAGGCTTACCAAAGCAACGGTCGGTAAAACAACGATGGTAGAGAGACGAACCCGACTGGGTTTTGGTTGGAATAGAGAGGGGAGCCGGATGACAGTGGTGGCGAGGCTAACCGACTGTCGATTCAGTCGAAAATCACAGAAAAGAATGGCTGACGATTTGGGTTTCACGAAACTTTGAACAGTTTTTGTTGGCCAATGACGACTATCCATGACGAATTAATTGAGGGGTTTTGCTCGGGGTTGGACGGCGGTCACTTCAGATGAGGCGATGTATGGCACGACCACTGGGAATGGAAAAAAAATAGCAAAGATGGTGCCGGGGTTTTAAATATCTGACGAAGCTTTCGTGGAGCTCTCCACGATAAACAATAGAGTCTCACGGAGCGTGGTCGATCAGGTTTTGTTCGTCGAATAATAACGATCACATCAGTAGGATCGGTGACAATGAAGACATTCAGATGGTGGTTGAACGGAAAGGGAAAGGGCGAAGATGAAAGCTATCAATTTGGGAATTTTAGGGTTAGGGATTTTGCCTAATATCTGATATGAAATTAGTTTTTGAATTAAAATGAATGATAGTTAATAAAATAATAATTTTATAATAAAACTCTTGAATAGTAACCTAGCGTAAATGGCTAAAGCTTAAGGTGAAGATTTTAAAAATTATGGGTTCGAAACCCACCAAATGCATATTTATTGGTTTTTTCATCTTACTAAAAATGGTTAAATTCGGGGACAAATCCTTGAACTTTCAGGGGAATTTGAAAACTGTCTTATAACTTTGGAAATTCATAATTTGATTCCAAAAATTAATTAAATAAAAACAAATTTGAATTGAATGAAAATTGGGGTGTGACATAATATTTTTTTTGCATATAAGTATGGTATTTTCTTATGATTTTTACTCTACTTACAACTGGTTTAAACAAGCGAAAGCTTTCCACAAGCATTCTTTAAGGAGCAACGGATCCAAAATTTTAATTTTTTTTAAATGAATGAGTATATAAATTTATTATTTTAAGAATTTCTTTTAATATATTAAATTAAATATTTTTTCTAAAATAGTTAGTATGCACTTGTCTCTTTTAAGAGTTTTAAGGGCTTAATGCGTTTGTCGCTGTCCTTAAGGAACGCACATCAAAAGCCTCACATTGTTTCAAACATTG